TTAGTCTTGACCTTAAACCAATCACTACCATTGTTATAATCCTTTTTTTTCCTAAAGGAAAATTCTACCCGGAGAGAAGAAGTTAGAGAGAAGCCAAAGAAAACTCTCTCTCTAAATCCCATCTTTGCTTAAGTGTTTTAGATATTAATTTATTGGTTTAAGGGCTATTTTTGTTTCTATAGTAGATTCAATTTATCATTTTTTTACCTTATGATTTTTTACATCAATTTAGCCCTCGAAGTTGTTTAGAGGCATCATTCTAGCCCTTGAAGTCTATTTTAACTAACAGAATTGTTAGTCTTTTGTATTTATTAATACCGATAATTTTCACGTAAGCTAATATTGCTGAAGTGACTTGATGATGATGCGACATTTATTAAAAACTAAATAATAAAGTATTTACTAAATACAACAGTTAGAAAATCCTCAAAAGTTTGACGTAAACCCTTAATCTCACTTAAATAAATAATAAAATTTTGAAAAAAAAATATAATCATTGTGTTTAGTAAATATTTTAACATAATCTCTTAATCCACAAACGTGGAAGACTCACAGTTTTGTTAGTCAAAATAATTAACGGATTTCAAAGGCTAGGTTGATGCCCCAGCCCTAAACAACTTCGAAGGCTAAATAGGCAAAAAAATCATAGGACCGAAAATGATAAATTAAATCTACTAAAGAGATAAAAGTAGCTCTTAAGTCTAATTTATTTGATTCAAGTTTTTATATAAAATATTATTTTTTAAAATACATAATTTTTATTTTTTACCTACTTTTTTAAACTTACCTAAAATTAAATACATGTTAACTGTGGAATAGATATAAATATATAATCAATTTGTTTATCTTAACGTTTCTCCTCTCCCTTTAAATTTTATACTATTCAATGCGATGTCACCTCTTGAAATTTACATTTTTTTTATGTTAATTCTTGATTCTATTCAAAATGTTCGTCCTAAAAATTTATTTGTGTGTACCTTATATGAAAAAAAATTCACTATTAATACATATGTGTATATCCTAAAAAATATTTCTAAAAATATAAACAAGGTTTAGTATTTTAATTTTTAAGTACTAATATAATATAATTTTACACATCATATACAATAATATTAATAGGTAAACTAAAAAAATATCAATTAACCAATAGCACACATGTGATGAAAATTGCTTGTTGAAGATCAAGAGGTGGGGATAAGCAGCCACCTACCTACCTTGATCTGGATCGCACTGCCCAGTCTATCCATTTTCTTTTTAGTTAAACATTATCATTAGTGCTTAACTTAAAAAGCAAGATGTACTTGTAAGATTTTCTGGTAACAATAGTTTTAACAACAACGTGATGTGAACTTCTTCCAGTAGCTTCAGCTTTTCAACCTGTTTTTAACTTGGGATTTACTCCTATATTACACGGTTTCAGTTTTTTTTTTTCAAGTGTAGTTTCGTAACATCATAATCCAACAGGCCACATTTTAGTTCGTGCTTGTATTAATTTAGACCTGTTGATGAAAATTTTGGGTTCATCTCTTCTAATTTGGACGGAGAATTTGATAATTTTTGAATTGGAAAAAGAGAGAACAAGATCTTCAATTCAGCTTTGTGTGATTGTTTGTATAGGTTTCTTTGGTATTGATGTCTAGAATAATGATGATCATTTGTAGGTCAATAGGTTGAGTAGATTTGATCATCATATAGCACATTTAGTCGGTTTAGGAGAGTGAGAGCGGACACGCTAAATAATTATAAAAGTTTGGAAGATATGAAATTCTAGAAACCTCAATGAACAAATAATTGCATATGAATAAGATCCTTTGCGTAGCTACCATGTTCATTCGCGGTTGCCATTCATGCCAACCTGGCCATGCACCATAGCTCGCCAGCTAGGGCAGCAATATATATGGTTTCAAGAAAATTAGCAAGAAACCCTAATTAACACGAGAGCAATTATGGAGAAGTTGGTTGAACGTCATGACAGGGTGGGATGATGTCATCAAAAATCCCTCGACAATTGGGGTGGGGGGACTTCTCGTGGGTTAAGATAGTGGTGGTGCAGCTATCATAAATTGTTTGAATATTTCTTCTTTCTAAAAAAAACTTAAAAAGAAAGCTGCACAAAAAAGATGAAAAGATAAAACATTTGGGGACCAAAGCAGCCAAGCGTGTAACCACAAAAAGGGGTTCCCTCAGAATATACAAACTCATCCCTTTCTTCTCTAACCTTCCCTTGCCTTTGCCCAATGCCTCACCCCGTTCAGTCAATTCATCGTACCCCAAGGTTAAAGCAAAGAAGAAAAAAAAGCATACACTATATAGTCAATATTATACGGCAAAATTACCAAGTTCCATTTGAACAAAAAAAATAGGGAGTTTGGCCTCTTGGAACAGATAAAAAAAGGGTACTGTTGGTTGAATGATTTTGTGTTTTGCTTTTCTTGTCAAAGTTGAATGACCGTGTAATTACGCATAGTTTGCTGCTCATCAAAGGTTTAACAAGCTTTTATGTCATGATTTCTGATCACTTTTACCATAAAAACATCACATTTGGATATCCTGTTTAGGCCAACCAACCAGCAGGCGCTTAGCCAGGCAAAGGCTATGAAAGAGAACTATGCAATGAAACATAGAAGCTATGTGCCTGCCATTTGTGCAAAGCTAAAGGACACATCTATAATTCCCTTTTAGAGTCTTGGTCTATAAGTTTTTATATACTCAACTCCATAGCCATTCATCAATTGCACCAAGCAAAGCAAGATATAATCATGTTTTCTTCCCAATAAAGTGTCAAAACAAAATGGTTTGGAGAAAAAAATTCCCCACCTTCATTTTCTTTTTGGCCCATTCTTAATATGACATGCATATGTATGTAAATTTCAGCTAGAAGCTATGTGTATTATTGTTCGAAATTGTAACATCTTTATCCGCTATCAATTCCTAAATACGAGTTAGAATGTCACATAATAATTTACTAACATTCAGTAGGAATCATTTATTAAAAAATTACAATTGAACCACTTATTGATTTATAAATCAATATTAATCTATATTCGTTTTTTGTTTTGAATTCATAGTGACTTAAGAGGCATTTAGTTAACCAAACATTAGATTATAACACTGAGTTTTAACTCCTTAACAATATTAGTTTTTTATTTATTTTATCTCATCGTTTTATTCGTCAAAGTCAGGGATTTTTTATATCATTTTTAGTACTTATAAAAAATCATCTTTTTTAGTGTCTTTTGCAATCATTCTAGACACTAATCAACTTGTCTCGTCATTATCTACCACTTTTTCGATTTAGATTTTCTCAAAACCCTTTAAAAATGATAAAAATAAATGAAGAAAAAACTATAATTTTTTGGGTCGGAGGGCTTTCTCGAATTTGAAAGGTTGTAGTATTTGTTCAAAACTCAAAATTGTAAGAATCATTCATTCGAGAAGATAAAAATCATACCTCAAAATTAGTCACATTAGATAGCCATCAAAGGATGTCAAAATATTAGATTGTCGAACCTATAAGTGAATTTTCATCCGTTTTGACTATGTCTCATGAAAAATTATTTTAACGAGAAAAAAAGATGAGTGAAATATAAACGTTTTAATATCAATCTTGTCGTAAATGGTGAATGATGACAAGTAACGGTTAACTATCAGTGAAGTTTAGTGTCTAAAATGGATGCATTTTAAAGTTAAGGGATAAAATTGATACACAAATTAAATGCTTTATATTAGAACGACATTATTTTGAGCATCAATAGTCATACAAAAATGACATCGCTTTAGCCATGGTTTCATAATAACGAAAAGATTCATTTAAACCATCATGCCGTTTGAACTTTAACGTTCCAATATTTACATTATAACAAATCAAAAATTCCATACTATAATTGAATGAAATTAAGGTCTAGTAGTAAAAATGTTAAAGTGTATAATTTACCCTTATTTTTATTACTTATATATTTATTCCATATCAATTTTAATTCTATACACATGTAAGTGAGTACATTAAATCATTCCATATCCCAAAAGAGTTAACCGTTTCTTCCTTTAACCAGTTAGTTTCTTGCTTCGTCAGGTAGAGTCCTCTATGATTGTATTGTGTTAGTTGCTTTGTTGAAGGAAGCTAATGGAAGAAGCTCCCATGCCTTCATATATTTTGATGATGTCTTTGGCAACAAGTCTCCCATGCCAATGCTACCTTTTACATGCGCATGTGAAAACGAACAAACCACACCACAAGAGTCCTACACACTAATAATTAAACGAAGAAGTACTCAAACTCCCTTGCACTATAATATATATATATATTGAACGAGGATTCATTATAAGACAAGCAAGGCAAGTAATGGATGTGGATAAATACATACATGTAACCGGAAACCCAGATAGAGGGTGAAGAAAGAGAAGAAGAGGGGGCCATGAAGGGGTGGTGGAGTGTGTTCCAAGACACAATGATTACATGGTCTTGGGGAAGCAGAAAGGGTGGCGTGGAAATAGCCAAGAGTGTTGAAGAACGTGGGGGCTTGACCGAGGTAGGAAAAGGACGAGGCGATGCAAGCAATACGGATAGAATAAAATTAAAAGATGAAGAAGAAAAGAAAAAGGGTGGGGGTTAGCTAAGCCCTTTTATCATGATGATACTATCAGCCTTTTTGGTCTTTGGTTTGTCGACAGTCTAATGTGTTGTGTGTTCACTGTGTTTTGTTTTTGTTTTTTTGTTTCCCGTCCCCCACTCGATCTCTCTCTTCACCAAAAAAAAACTGCACTCAATGACACAGATTGTAATTATACACTTTGAACCAATCACAAAAACCAAACCCAATTTCGATTATTTTATAAAACACAAATACGGAGAGAGAAATACTTTATGTATAAACTACTAGCAGTTTATAAAATAAGATATCCCTGATTGTTACAAGAATGGATAGAGAAAATGGCTTAGGAAGGAAGCAAAGGAGACTAACAGTACTTGCACACACTATAAATTTAGAGTGGTGGAGAAGAGTAGAAGAGAGCAAACTCCCCCCCCCCCAAATAAATAAAAAAAGACACCAACAAAGCATATAGGAAAAGGAAAGCTTGTTTTGAAGCTGAGGATAAGAAAAGTGCCTGCCAGAAACTAACCTACCCCAAGTGAAAGAGATTGAGTCGTCTTCTTCCATCCTACACCCAAAACCCAATTCCTTTTTGCCCTTTTCTTCCTTTTTAAACGCCAAAGAAGAATTCAGACCCCTCTTAAAAATTCATCTATGTAAGCAATATATATCATAGCAAGGTTTGTCTCCTTTTATTCTCTTTCGTATTTGTTTTTTGCTTCCGTCCATATTATCGATCTTTGTTTTATCCAGGAAAGATCGAGGGATGCGTGGAAAGAAAGAAGAAGATCAAGGGGAGTGTTCTCAAGCTATCCATAACATACAGGGTTACCAAGAACAGTTATTTATGCAGCAGCAGATGCACCAGCAGCAGCAGGGGAATGATTTATTTGGGGGAACAAGGGGAGGGTTGATATTCCCTGAAGTTTCTCCCATACTACCATGGTCTCTCCCTCCGACTCACAATTTCAATCCTTCCCACCACTTCACCGGAAACCCTGTTCGAGACGACGACCCTTTTCTATTCCCTCCGCCGCCGTCCTCGTACGGTGGTTTATTCAACAGGAGGGCTCCTGGCCTTCAGTTTGCATACGATGGGACATCGGCTGACCATCTAAGGATCTTATCTGACACTCTAGGACCGGTGGCTCAACCAGGTTCGGCTCCTTTCGGGCTACAAGCCGAGTTGGGGAAGATGACCGCTCAAGAAATCATGGACGCTAAAGCTCTCGCTGCTTCTAAAAGTCACAGCGAAGCGGAAAGGCGAAGAAGAGAACGCATCAACAATCATCTCGCCAAGCTACGCAGCATACTACCAAGCACCACGAAAGTAAGTTGTAGTCATCGCACATAATAGTAATGCAAAATAAAAATTTTGTTTAAAAAAATTCGAAAAAGAAACCATTATAAATCATCACGCGTACAAAATGCCCTACAATATTATAATTATATGGGAACTATGGAAGTGTCACTCGATACACCTTTTCCGCCCCCCATTCCCTCCTTTTTGTTTTGTATTATATTCAAGGCCTTTCCCACCTTCAAAGTTTTATCTGCAAATTTTTCCAAGATTCTTCTTGGATGTTCTGATACTATGCTCTCAAAACCTACCCGTTTAGACGTGAAAAGTTCGTCACATTTCTTTCTCGGCCCGTCTTTTTTTAAGAAAAGCTCGACTTTGGGTTTATTCTTAACAGTCTTGTGGTAGTTCCGAGGAAGAAAAGGGGATACGAGAAGGGAATGAGCGTTAATGTCGCTATGGTGATATGATAAAAAGAAACCAAGGAGCAGTTGAAAAGCTTCCACAGAATTTTCTTGCCGGTTCATCAGTCAAATTAAGTAGGGAAAATGAAAAGATGTAATGGAAGACAAACTATAGCATGCTGTCAGTTCATACTATTACACCGCTGCCATTCCCTTGAAAATCAAAGAAAGAAATAAATCAAACCCCCACCATTAACAGCCTACTCTTCGAGCTACTTTCGAGTTTTAGTTTCATCAAAGCAAGGAGAAAACAGCAAAACCCACCTTTTCTTGTCTATTTCATTATTTCTTGTTCCGCATTGATGGGACAAAGATTTTTAACCTAATCACTTGCACGTTAATTAAACCGCAATTTAGCTTATAAACCACGTTAAAGCATAAATGGTGATCCTTTTAATTGTTGTTTTGTGTTGTTTATCACTGTATCGTAGACGGACAAGGCTTCATTGCTTGCAGAAGTGATCCAACACGTTAAGGAGCTGAAGCGACAGACCTCATTGATAGCGGAAACGAGTCCGGTGCCGACCGAAATCGACGAACTAACGGTTGATGCATCGGAAGAAGATGGTAAGTTCGTGATCAAAGCTTCACTTTGCTGTGAAGATAGGTCAGACCTCTTGCCCGACCTAATCAAAACGTTGAAAGCTTTACGTCTAAAAACACTAAAAGCCGAGATCACAACGCTGGGTGGGCGTGTAAAGAACGTACTATTTATCACCGGAGAAGAAGACTCGAGTAGCAGCGACGAGCAGCAACAGCAGCAGCTGCAGTATTGTATAAATTCAATACAAGAAGCATTGAATGCGGTGATGGAGAAGACGTCTGTGGATGAGTCATCTTCTGGGAATGTTAAGAGACAAAGGACCAACATCAGTATTCTTGAACACAGGTCTCTTTAACTTACCAAAAAAAAATACCTTTGAATACGTACTATTTTTTAATCTACTAAGTATTCATGATGGGGGTGTTCATTTTTCTGTTTCGTTTTTTTTTCATTTTCTGGGAGTGTTTTAATATGTGTATTTTGCTATCCGTGGACAAAATATATGATGATGGTGTGGTAGGTTTGTATACATAAACAATGGATTTCAAATTATAAACACGAATTTCAAGGAAAGAAATCAAAAAGGGTGGTGATGGCATGATCATTTGATGAGGTGTTTGTGCTTTGGGTTTTGGGTTTTGGTTTTTTAGTATGATCATCATCAATGATGCTGATTGCAATGGAGGGAAGGAATAGGCCAAAAAAAGAGTGGAGGATCTTTTTCGTGGGAAGAGAAACCTTATATCAAAACCCAACATAGAAAACGTGAAGCTGATTGCTCTGCTGACTGGAACCAGCTTAGCTTGGAGTTGGGACAAAAACCCAACATGTAATGAAACTCTTTGTTCTGGTTTGGTCTGGTCTGGGGTTTTGTTTTGTAGCAGAACTATACTATATCTATATCTATCTATCTCCCTCTCTCTATGTCATCAGATATGGTGGGAATTTATGATCAGATCATATGGCATTAATATATTAAGAACGGTGACGACCAACTTCTTTTTTACCTTCTTATGCTTGTTCTACTCATGATGTTACACTACCACCATCATCATATCTCAGCTTCTGATAAGTTTTTGCCTCTCCTCTTTATTTATTTAAAAAAAACCGAGTGAAATAATGGAGAAAGCTGATAGAGAGAGATTAGAAAGAAAACCCTAACGGGTCTGGCAAGTTCTATGCGCAAGAGAAAGAGTTTTTTTTTTTTTTTTAATTTCAAGTACATAAAAATATATAATATAATAAAATTCGTATATTTGACGTATTAAATGAACAACGAATCAAATCATAATTGTTATAAAATTATAATTATATTCAAATAATTTTATATAATATATTGATTTGATTTATTAATAATATATAAATGTATACTTTATTTATACATAAAATATTTATTAACCTTATCCGATACATAAAATATTTAGATAATTTTTTTAATAATATAGAATGATTATAAATTATTGACAATAAATAAACCATATGGAGCGTTAAAACCTCTAAAAAGAACAAACGTTTTTTATCATCGAGTTCGTTTGATAAATTCATTTAAGTTGATTACAAAGTAGTAAATGTTCAAAATGATTTCAACCATTTGACAATAAACGCTCAATCACCCTGCTGCAGTAGCTGGTGCTCGAGCTCATTACCTCTAGAAACAACAATCATTCATTTAACCACTGAGGTAAGTTGGTTCGTGTCTCTTTTACATTTTTTCTATTTACTCTTAGTATTTTATTCAAATTTTATATTTTTTTAGAAGATATAATAAATATGTAAAAGTGTTTTCCAAATATAAGTAAAAATTGAGTGCGATATGAAACATATAAAGTTGTAGGGTTTGTTCACATTGATTCTCGTTCAGTTTGTCTATTCCGGCTTAAATCTAAGCTTATGACCCATGAATTTTTTAGGGTGGATATTTTCAAAAGTATTAAATATAACGACATATCCAAAAATATTTTTAAGATACGTACGTATATATTAATAACATAAATTTTTATATGAATAAACACAAATAAACTTTATAGTGAACACAATCAATAAAATAAATAATAAATAGAAGAAAATTTAAATTTTAAGATAAACTTTGACCTACCTACAAACCTTAGCAAAACCACCGTTAATTCAACATGAAACCCAAAATACAATATTCAAACTCATTTCAAATCCAACTCGTCCAAACCTGACCCAATCTCCAAACTAACATCCACATCCCTCGATCTTCATACACATTCAAACTTGAACACAACCTTATTCCCTACATCATCATCTAATGCCTAAGTCCCACTGTCGAACACTATTATATAAACCCTTGAAACCTCATTTGAAAACCCTAAACTTGAAATCAGAAGAAAAACCTAGAGAACAAAAGGTCGAAACTTAGATCCCAAAAAACCCTATACGAAAACCATGTAAAGTTCAAATATCAAAGATCAAAAACCAAAAACCATGCTTAGGAGGTTAAAAAGAGGGAAATCGATTGTTTTTGTATTTGATTTTTCTAAGTTACAAACTCTGATATTTAATTTGTGATCCCTTGCATTATTTTGTATATAATTACATTGTCTTCGTAAGATGAACTTTCGTGCAAACATAGAAGAATTTATATGTATCTCCACATTAAACTTAATCTATATGTGTTTATAATAAGTGAACATGTACATCAAGGGTTTTACTAGCTTTAATAAAAGATAAAGAAAATAATTCGAGCACCTTTTATGGAACTAAACCTCATGTACGTATTAGACCATAAGAGTCCACCTTAATAAAGCAATGTAGAACCTCCACCCGTTAGTGATAACTAATATGGATATACCAGGGAAACACTTCCAAGTTTTGTTTGCTTTTGCTTATCTTTACTTTATTCGTGGTGTATATCAAGCATGCGTGAGTAAGACTTTCAAAAAGCATGTTGACTAGTATGTACAAATATGATTTAGGGTAAATTACATGTTTAGTATTCTAATTATTACTTTTGTTCTATTTTAGTCACCCAACTATTTTTTGTTTCAAAATTATACTTAACGTTATATTTTGGTTTTATTTTGATCACTCACCGTTGAAAAAGTAATGGTGACGTTAACGTGTCATCATTGAAATTTTTTCAAAAATGTATCGTCAATAGTTTTGTTACTTTATAAACGGCGGATGACAAATGAAAGCAAAGCATAACGTAGTTGAGTAATAGTTGGATACTAAACGTGTAATTTACCGTAGGATTTATTTATAACTTTTGATCCGCGTTAACCCTAAACCATGACGAGTCGAGATATACATCTTGATGGGAAGAGTTGTCGTGATGGTGATATACTATACCTTCCAAGTTGCAATATCATATCGTTTAAGGTAAAAAATGGTGATGAGATTTGTGGTATAAAAGAAAGAAAATATACAGCAGTACAGAGATGAGTAAAAGCATTATATATATAGGGTAGAAGTGAAGAATCTAAGAAAGCCCTATTTGAAGTTTGGAGTTTGAAGAATGAAGCAGATGCAGGTGGCAGTGGGGGGGGGGGGAATCAAACAGCTTTTTCTCACGATAAAAGGAGACTGTTGTGGTCAACTGAAACTAAGACAATGGGTTTTAAGTGTAATGAACCGGAGCTGCAATTTTGCTGCGTAAATTGAAGACAGTCGCTGATGAACATGTACTATGAACCACTGTTTGCTTGCACCCATGTTATTGTTATAATACTAATAATAATAATAATAATATATTGCTTCTTGATTCCTGGGTCTAACTAAAACACCAGGCCGCCAGGATTGATTCGCAACTTCAAAGTTACTGTGAAGATGCCCGGAGGTGAAAAAGTGACCGCCGGTAAAATCAAGTAAGAAACAAGGTTTTCATCAAATATCATATTCAGTTTGAATAAGTTTAGCTTCAGCTAAATATTATAGGCTTAGGTATTGTTTGTTTTGAATGATTCAAATGTTGAATGATTCAGAGGCTTGTATGAATTAGCTCTGAATGTGACATGTTGTTTGATAATGGCTCTGAATCATTCAGAATATACTTATGTGCTGAATCATTTAACAATGTTTTGTTGAATCAGTCAACACTGAATCATTCAGAGGTACGAAACAAACGCGCTGAATGATTCCATTAAGAGCCAAACAAATAACCCCTTAGTATTCGACAAACCAACTTGCAAATCACCTACCTTACCATCTTTTAACTGTTTTTGGACCGAGTCTAGTTCTGTCTTGACTAGGATATGAAAAATAAATTTATGTGGTGTAATGTGCAAACGGAAATGAATAAATTAGTAGTCAAAATTTCTAAAGATTAGTGGGGAGGAGACATCAGCCAGCAAATGGATAGAATCAAAGAATTAGAAAGTGGGTTTGTTAGTTGTGAATTGTGAGTGGGTATATATATAATTTTTTTAATAGATTAAGATAATTAAAAGAGAATATTTATGGACAACATAAATAGAATATGCAAATACAATTTGCTTAAACCTTTGACCTCTAGGGATAATAAGATTCTTTTTTACCAATTATACATAAAAATCATTAATAACATGTTTAATATTTAAATAATTTTTATTTATTTTTTAAATATTATTATTATATAAAAGTATAAAAAATACTTTTATCATAATATTTGAATATACAAACTAATTTCCATATTAATGAAAAGACCAAACATGAAAACAGGCAAGCAATTTTGAAGTTACCCAAGGATATATGCCCATTGAAACCTATAAGCCCAATTAATTTCAGGCCCTAAAATACCCAACGTTTTTACGTACTTCCTTGCAGTAACAGCAAAGCAACAAAATAACTTCATTGCTTTGCTGAAGAAGAAAGCCAACTCTCCAACTCAATCGAGCTACAACCCGGTACTTTTGATAAATTCTTCCCCTTCATCACCTCCCTTACTTTCTCCGCTTCATCGAACTTACCGGCAGCAGCATATATGTTCGACAACAACACGTAATAACCGCATTTCTCTGGCTCTAGACCAATGAGTTTCTTTGCGATTCGTTCACTGATTTCGACATTGTTATGAACTCGACATCCAGCTAGAACAGCTCCTAGTATGGCCGCGTCAGGTTCCATAGGCATTGCTTCTATAAACTCCTCTGCCTGCTCCAAAAGCCCTGCTCTCGCCAAACAATCCACCATGCTAGCATAGTGTTTCAACTCCGGTGTCACCCCATAGTTTCCGATCATCTCGAAACATGAACTCGCTTTTTCAGCTAGTCCACCATGGGAACATGCTGATAATATACCAAGAAATGTGACTTCATTGGGTTTAATCCCTTTGGCAATCATATTATCGAAAAGTTCGAATGCGGTCCTAACATCCCCACTCAAACCGTGCCCCAATATTAGAGAGCTCCAAGAGATGACATCTCTTTGGTTCATCATATTAAAAACCCTGTGAGCATAAGTTAACACAGCACACTTTAAGTACATATCGACAACAGCATTGCCTAAATTCAATTCCATCCCCAGTGACCTTCTCACACACCATCCATGGACACTCTTCCCATGATTTAACCACCCCGATTGTCCACAAATTAAAAGCAAGCTTAACATAACCACCCAATCAGGCGAAACCCCAGCATCCACCATTTCTCTGTATAATGCCAAACCCAACGTCGGTTCCTCATGCTTTGCATATCCATCCAACATTGCCGTCCACAACACCGCATCCCTCTTTGGCATTCCATCGAACAAGACTCGCGCATCAAAAATCTTCCCAAGACTCGCGTACGCGAAAACCAAAGCAGAAGCGACAAATAGACTCCTTTCGAAACCCAATTTCAAGCACAACCCATGAAAAGAAAGAGCTAGTTTTACCAGCCCAGAACTCACGCATGCCCTTAGAACAAGCGGGAGAGTGAAGTCATCGGGTCTGACATCAGAACTCTGCCACATGTGAAGAAACAAATCTATGGCTTTTAGAGGGGAATTCGAGCGGGAGAACTCTCCGATTATGATGTTCCATGAATAGATATTCCTTTGGGGCATATGAAAGAAGACAGAAAGAGAGTAAGGGACAAGGTGGTTGTACTGGGAAAAAGCCAAAACAAGCCTA